AATTTCATTATTTTCTTCATCATTCTTCTATAAATAGGTTACGAATCCTGAAGGCCAGCAGGCCTCATCTCCCTTAGCTCGTGTCGGTTCTTTAAATTCTCCGAAGAAATTGCCCCCCTTATTTTTCACCCGTAATCCCTCAAATTCACATACGAAATCTCCACCGCCTGTCGTTACGGCACCAGCGAAAGCAGATGTCAGGAGAAGTGAGTTGCCTTTGACAATGGATACTTCAACAACTGATTCAAGAATTTCGGCCACGGCTACCTGCGTATGCGATGTCGGTGCTGAGCCCGCTGGCCCTGACTTCTGCCGGGAAATGGCCTCTAACAATCAGGTACATCAAATCTTATTTTTCTTTTTTATCAGACTAACTTTTATCCATGCTCGAAAGCTCATTATTGATCGATCGAGGTAACAAAGATTATTTAATGTAAATTCTATTACCGATTTATTCATTGAGTTTCACTATTCTATCTATTCTTATGGAGCATTTTCACCCAGGTTAGATCGCCTGATACACCTCTATAGCACTAATCGATTAACAGCCTATGGCTCCTATTTTAGATTCCTAACACCTCTCTTGCAGATTTGCCATGAATAACTCTTCGAATCAGGAAGATCCTATGGTTGAACTGTGTTTGATTAAAAGGCGTAAGTCGTATTAGTAAATTATTGACAAATGGATAGAAGATGGAATAGATGCGAATCTTTAGTGCCCAGCCGGTGAAGAGATGGGGTGAGGGTCAAACAACTGCTCCAATAAGCTCATTCAAATAGATTCGCATTTTTCGGAATAAGTGTGTGAATTTGGATTTACAATTGATACTTGGATGTTGTTCCACAAAATTTTGCCCAATAAGTTTGGCCTATTTGTCACTGACGAATTGAGTTTTGGTACTAATTCCGACCCTGCTCACTGTCAATATCAGAAAAAGTTCTGGTAAATGGTTGAATCTTGTAATGTTACTTTCTTCTAATTCTTCCTGTAACCCTAACTGCTTTTATATTTATATTTATCTTAATATCAAGGGCAAATTTGTCTGGTTGTTTTATCTCTTATCTTGCCCTGATATTCGTCTTAGTATTATCAATCATGGCTTGGCGTAATCTATTTCCTATTTTATACTTTCGTTTACTGCTCTTACGGCGCATACAAGGCCGAATATGTATGAAAGGCCGCTTTTATGATACATATTGCAGTGAAGTTAAGGGGCAAAATCATACTTATTCATTTATCTATGAACAGTTTAACTAAGCTATTAATCAGCCATTAATAAATCGTCACTCCTAATCGAGTTTTGCATAAGAGCCTTCTTAATTTTCTTTCCGACCGGACCTACATAAATTCACAATTTTTTAAAAATTGCATCTTTTATTTACCATTTTTAGGAAGAAACCGTGGCTTCAGTTTCATTTGTTAATGATGCTTGCTGCTCAGATTCCGAAATCCAGATTTCATCAAGCTCCGCTGAAAATGTGCTTAAATGCTCGATCAGGCCAGTCGCTCTTAATCGTATGGTAAATTCAGTTTCTTTTCTTTTCTTAAGACCTTACTATCTTTTTACCTCTATTTTACCCATAGTTGTACAGGTAAAATAATAAAATTTTCCGTCCAGCCCCGTAAAATATGATGCGATTTTACTTTTATATCCTCATTTCTTCTTACATTAATATGTATGTGAAAATTAAATTAGGCTGGGCGTTTTGCTTCATTTCTTGCCAAATACAAATAACTCTATTCAACAGCATCAA